TATGTTGTTATTTTTGACGATTTGTAAAATTATAAAGATCTTATTCCCTTTAACAAGATAATATAATTACAATAATTATATTTATAATCTATATTACTATTATTATGGCTATTATTACCAAGACTTAAGAAAAGGAAATAAAAATCACAATTATTTCTGCTATACTGGATTAGGATTAAATTAAGGTTAATGTTATAATATTAATATTAATATCTTATTTTATCATTATTATTCGAATTATTGTTATTATTATTTATTCGAATTATCAATTTTGTTCGAATCATCGTACGTTTATTCATATTATTAGTTTCATTCTTTTTTAAAACTTTATTCGAATAAACTTTAATGTAATTCGAATAAACCTTATTCGAATAAATCCTGTGGTGGTAATGACAAAATGATGAAAATGGCAATAGTAAGCAATAATCTTTTCCTAACAATGGTTTCAATGTTCTTGTTGTATTCAGACCTACTTAAATTATTCAGATTGGTGATATTTTATTATGTTAAAAATAACATAAAGCATGTATTAAATGTTACGATTGTTTCATTTATAGTGGTTTTAATCCATAAGCGCCAGGCATTTATTGGTTGTGCGTACCACTAATAAAAATAAAAATAAATCTTTAATTTATAATGCAAGGATTAATAAATTTTTAGGAGCCGGTTCAAGTTCAGGTTTATTACTATGTCTGGATTGGTAAATTTAATTCCTAGTATTTATTTTTCAGGAATTAGACTCGAGACCAAATAATCTTTTTTTGAAAAAATCAAAATATAGTAATTACATTCCTACATTCTTATTATAATCTCTGCATCTGTTAAAAAAAAAAAAAATTTTTATTTAATTAAAATTAAAATTTGTTTTTCAATCACAAGGCAAACAGACATAAAAGGAAAAATAAATATCATAAATAATTTACACAAACAAATAAACCCTGAATTGTAACCGGGTAAATCAATTCATGTTATATTAATATAAATAATGTCCGATTTTTCTCTCGATTAGAGAGAAAAATATGAAAAAGAAAATTAAAAAATTAATATTTATAAATACAAAATTTCCGTTTTCGCTCATTTTAACCAATAAATCATGGTATAAGATATCCAAAGACCCAAAAACAAGAGCAAATTGGATCATTAAGAACCACGGGAAAGCAAATTCGTTTTTTTATGCAATTTGCTACGGTCATAACTTTATATCATTAGAACTAGTTGATCTTCTGATAAGAGGACATATGGTTTTGTCTGGATATCTTGTGCAACGATTATTATTACAATTCGGGAAAAGTGATGATAGTTTAATTAAACTAAAATACAAAATGGCGTCAACTTCAACATAATGACATGGATCAAGGAATATCTAAAGCTTCTCAAAAATATTATAGAAATCCTTGGGTCTCAAATATTCCAGTAGCGGTATTTGTAGCTTTGTTAAAAGAAGCCAGATTACAATATGGTGAAAGTCTTCCCTTGAAAGGTAATGACATTGAAATGTTTCATTTGTTAACAGGGGTCCCCTGGCTATAGACTTGGCTCCAAAAATGTTGATGGAAAACCTGGAAAAAATAAAGGATCTTACATTAAATAAAAATTTTATACCTTTTCCCCCAAGACCAATTATCCCATTTGAAGACTCAATTGATTACCAAAAAGAAATGCAATTACTTAATCATAAAGAGTATCCAGCTAAGGATGGATTTGAAAACAATAAGCAATTGAATGTAATTGCAAGAGCAATATTAATTTATCCTGACCTAGTAGAATTCTGGAAACAAATTGGCTATCATGATATATGTAAAGATGTCAATAATTTGGTGTTACAGGGTTCTTTGTTAATTTTATTCTACCCAAATTATAAAAATGAAGAAGCTTGTGATTGTCCAACTACAATGGACTTTGTCAAATGTATACAACAATTAAGGAATCAAACAATATAACAATTTTAAAACCATTTTTCGAAGGTTTTTTACCCCAAATTTTTAATCTAAAACCAAATTTTAAATATAATAGTAACATCAGCACCAGAAAACATAAATCGAAAAAACAACTGCTATTGCAAAACCAGTCTCTTTTTCAACTACTTGATGTTCATGAGAAGAAAATTGAAGTTAAGAAGAGAACAACATTATGGTTTCTGAATTGAAAAAAGTTTATCAAGAAGTAACAATGCAATTCAATCCAAGCATATATAATAATCAGTTCACTTTGAATTTTGTATTTTGTATGAGAAATTTTGGAATAGACTTATAGCAGAAACTAATTATATCAACAAACCTAAATCAAAAAAAATGAAAAATTGGGACATTGGAACAGAAAATTGATTGGGAACCAATAGAAGAAAATGGATCAAAGAACATTAAAAGAAAATGGGACAAAGATAAGGAAATTTGACAGGGAATTATTAGTATTTTAACTTCTACTATTATTACTATCTTTAATGCTTAATGGAATATCTTTTTAATATGATTATACCACATATGAATATTTATATTTTTATATAATTTAGATATTTCTTAATCTTGTTGTTGTTGTTGATGTTGATGTCATTTTGTATTTTAGTTCAATTAGACTATCATCTGTTTTTCCGAATTGTAATAATCTTTGCACAAGATA